CATCTGAGGTCCTACTGCGACAAGCTTGTTGGAGTAGGAAGAAATGAGAAATTGAAGATGAAGCTATTTATCAAGAGTTAGACAGGATAGGCACTCACGTGGTACACCCGCCAAGACCCTAGAAACTAAAGAGAATAGCCAGATATGGCAGAAGACTTCATGAACTGTTTCCAGTTTAACATCGAAATTAATCCAGATAGGTTCGCTCTATGCCCGCCGTTGGAGGTCAGAGGCTGCCAGAACCTAACCCCCGCTAGATGACAATGAGTTGACTAATACTTCATCAAGGCCCAAGAAGGATTTTACTTTGAAAAGATGATGGGCATGATGGGGCAGAATTTCCTCGAACTTGTTAAGATTGGAGACTTTTTGGAAGAAGGCACCAATTCCGGCAAGATACAATCAATGGACGCATTGCATGCTGCCAGTAACGCAATTTAGTCTGGTTCGATAAGTAGTGAAAAGAAGAAGAAGAATAAGGAAGAACTATCAGCAGTCATTCCCTATTACCAGTCCATTCCACCCCACAAAAACAACTCTTACCCTATGAACACCCATCCTCCACACTAACCTACATACGCTCCAGTATACAACACACACCAATAACTTCGGGAAGAAGGCTTTTGTGCTAGTGTGTGTTCCGGGTTCGGGTCAGATCTCAGTACTAGAGGACGACATCGTAGATGGAATGGAAAGACTGTTGTAGCCATTATCGAGGAATGACATAATGAAGTTGATATCAAGATACCAACCATTAGGGATGCCGAACCAGGAGAGGACTTACAGAATTGGACCGCCTCTGTGGGCCCGTGTACTCTTGTGGATGTTAGAAAACAAGTGTTTTAATCATTTCTCCCGTATGTTATAATCCAAATACTATTAATGAAAGACCAAAAGTTTGCTCCGAATCTAAATATGTCAATATCTGATTGTTCATCAAATTTTATGACATAGGCCTACCTCCAACAAAGAGAGGTGTCTCGCATATTAGGAAAATGCACTTATTTGAATACGTGAACTAACAGCTTTATGTTCTTATCTTGGTACAAAACTTGAAACTAACTTCTTCTTTACTTTTCCTTTACTTTTTGCACTACATTATTATTTATTCCACTGAAAACAGAGGTTGGTTTGTGTTGACTCAAAAACTGGCTGAACCACCATACAACTTGAGATCAAAAGGGAAGATGTCTGCGACTGATGACCCGACCGGACACGCTTTGGTGATAGCCGACAACCCGGGGAATCAGGTGAAAATAATGATACTCAAAACGACGAGCATGTTACTAGGATGGCACAAGAGATGGAATTATTAAGAGAAGAGGTACAACATATTCGGGAACTGGCATATCTGGCAGTGACGATGCTTCCACAACCACCCTATTTCCCTTCACTAGACTCAATCCCTGATCATTTCCCTTCAACCACCCATCAAGCAAACAATACCCCAACTACAGTCACTACAAACCCCACAATCTAGGTTGTACCACTAGTAACCCCCGCAAACCCACCAAATCTTCCTATACATACCCCTTATGTACCAAACTATGTCCAAACACCACAGAACCCACCAGTCAAAACTAACTCAGTTCATACGCCTCCCCGTGACAACATCACCTTTGCCAACAATCAAACCCAGCACATACCTGTGGCACACACTACTACACACAAGTGGTATGTTCCACTCGTATGTGCCACTTCAGAACCCACCTTAAAAGCGCCCTTCACGACCAGAGTGCCATATTAAATCGATCAGTATGCTGAAAGGGAATCAAAGTACAAAGAGGAAGAGTCGGTATCCAAACAGTTGCGAGCATTGAGGAAACAAATAAAGAATCTTCAGGTTGCTTGAGAGAGCGAGATCCTAGATTATGAAGATTTGTGTATACACCCTGATGTGGACATGCCAGTAAGGCATAAGCCTCCAAAATTCAACATCTTTGATGGGACAGGTTATCCCCATGCACATCTAAGGGCATACTGCGACAAGCTTGTTGGAGTAGGAAGAAATGAGAAATTAAGGATGAATCTATTTATCAAGAGTTTGACAGGTGAGGCACTCACTTGGTACACCCGCCAAGACCCCAGAAACTAGAGAGAATAGCCAGATACGACAGAAGATTTCATGAACTGTTTCCTGTTTAACATCGAAATTAATCTAGATAGGTTCGCTCTATGACCGCCGTTGGAGGTCGGAGGCTACCAGAACCCAACCCCCGCTAGATGAGAATGAGCTGACTAAATACTTCATTAAGGCCTAAGAAGGATTTTACTTTGAAAAGATGATGGGCATGAAGGGGCAGAAGTTCCTCTAACTTGTTAAGATTGGAGACTTTTTGGAAGAAGGCATCAATTCCGGCAAGATACAATCAATGGCCGCATTGCAAGCTGCCAGCAACGCAATTCAGTCTGGTTCGATAAGTAGTGAAAAGAAGAAGAAGGAAGAAGTATCAGCAGTCATTCCCTATTACTAGTCCAGTCCACCCCCACAGAAAAAACTCTTACCCTATGAACAACCATCCTCCACACTAACCTACATACACTCCAATATACAACACACAACAATAACTTTGGGAAGAAGGCTTTTGTGTAAATGCGTGTTCCGGGTTCGGGTCAGAGTTCAGCACTAGAGGATGACATCGTAGATAGAATGGAAAGACTGTTTGTAGCCATTATCGAGGAATGACACAACGAAGTTGATATCAAGACACCAACCATTCGGGACGCCGAACCAGGAGAAGCCTTGCAGAATTGGACCGCCAGTCCATCTTTGGTTCGCCGAGAGTCTTGGTAGTGTGGAATTGTAAAACTTTTGAAAAAAACGCACGGTCAAGGCCAATTGAGGGCTGAATCATACATGTACTCTTTGTTAATTGCCTCATTTATTACTTAAACGTTCCCCTTTTGATGAAATAAAAAGAATTGCTTTTCTTAAAATCTTTGCAAATCCATTTATCTCTTTATTTATACCTAGTTTTTGCTTTTCAGTAATCAAATTGATAAAACCCCGCATTCCGCGATTATGACATGTAATGAAACCTTCAAGAAAAATGATCCCGACTACGAGGAGTACGGCGAGAGCATGATGCCTAATAACCTCCCGCAAGAGATCGAGCAGTTAGAGAGCCAGCAAAAGCCTAATCTTGAAGAAACAGAAGTAATCAACTTGGGAAGCGAAAAAGACGTGAAAGAAACTTAAATCAACATCTATTTAGAAGCAGAACATAAAGAAGAACCGGTCCAGCTCCTCTGACAATACATCGACGTGCTCGCATGGTCATATGACGACATGCCTGGATTGAGTACCACCATTGTCTGGCATCAATTGCCCACCGATCCTGCCAGACCGCCAGTTAAACAGAAACCCGGGAAGTTTAAGCATGATTTAAGTTTAAGGATAAAAGAAGGGGTCACTAAACAAATAGAGGCAAATGTGGTGAGAGTCACCAATTATACATGGTTAGCAAACATTGTATCGGTACCAAAGAAAGCTGGGAAGATAAGGATATGTGTGGATTATCAAGATCTCAACATAGTTAGTCCAAAGGACGGTTTCCCTTTACTAAACATTCGTATCCTCATTGACAATTGTACAAAGCACTAGCTACAGTCATTCGTGGATTATTTCAATGGGTACCACCATATCCTAATGCATGAGAAAGATACGGAGAAGACAGTGTTCACTACGCTATGGGGATTTTACGTTATAGGGTCATGTCGTTCGGCCTCAAGAACGTCGGTGCTACTTACATGAGGTCCATGACGACCCTCTTTCACGACATGATCCATAATGAAATCGAGGTATACCTGGATGACATCATCATTAAATCCCGGAAGAGTGAAAAGTATTTGAATGACCTGAAGAAATTCTTCGAACGTTTGTAAAGGTACAGTTTGAAGTTGAATCCCGCAAAATGTGTATTTGAGTCCCCGCCAGAAAACTGTTGGTCTTCATCGTGAGCAGGAAAGGATTAGAATTGGATCCTTCGAAGATCAAAGCCATTCAAGACCTACCGTTGTCTAAGAGTAAGAAGGACGCGATGAGTTTCCTTGGCAGATTAAAATACATCAGCAGATTCATAGCCCAGTCTATGATAATCTACGAGCCTATTTTCAAGCTACTGAAAAAGGATGCTGCTACAGAATGGACAGAAGAGTGTCAAAAAGCTTTCAACAAGATCAAAGAGTACTTGCCAAATCCACCAGTGTTGGTTCCCCCCAAACCCGGGAAGTCGTTGTTACTATACCTTACTGTTCTGGACAATGCATTTGGATACATGTTGGGACAACATGATGAGACCAGGAGGAAGGAGCAGGCTATCTACTACATGGGCAAGAAGTTTACACCATGTGAAGACAAATACACTTTGATAGAGAGGACCTGTTGCGCTTTGACTTGGATCGCTCGAAGATGAGGCACTACATGTCAGCATATACCACACATCTGATATCCCGGCTCGATCCGCTCAAGTACATCTTCCAAAAGCCGATGCCTACTAGAAATTTGGCCAAATGGTAGATTTTTCTCAGCGAATTCGGCATTGTGTATGTGACGCAGAAGGCTATCAAGGGACAAGCATTAGTCGACCATCTTGCAGAGAACCCAGTGGACATGGACTACGAGCTGCTCACTACATACTTTCCGGATGAAGAACTGTTATTCGTCGGGGAAGACATCGCAGAGACATACCCAGGATGGAGAATGTTTTTGACGGAGCTGCAAACTTCAAAGGTGTAAGGATCGGGGCAGTCCTGACTCTGAGTCAGGACAGCATTACCCGGCGTCAGTAAAGATTAGGTTCCCTTGCACCAGTAATATGGTTGAATTTGAAGCATGTATCATCGGGATTAGGATGGCAGTTGATATGAACATCAAGGAGCTTCTGGTCATAGGAGATTCTGATCTACTGATACATCAAGTCCGAAGTGAATTGACTACCAAGAATGTTAAGATCCTTTCGTACCTGCATTGCGTGAAAGAGTTGTGAAAGAAATTCACCATGATTGAGTTCAAACACATTCCCAGAATCCAGAATGAATTTGCCAACGCTCTTGCAACATTGTCATCCATGATCGAGCATCTAGATAAGAAGTACATCGACCCTATTGAGATAGAGGTTCAGGATCAACATCCATACTGTTTTCATGTAGACGACGGTAAGCCATGGTACTACGACATCAAAAGGTTCCTTGAAGCAAGAGAATACCCAGAGAATGCCACCAATGGTCAGAAACGTGCACTTAGAAGGCTAGAAAATCACATTTTCCTCAATGGGGAAGTCCTGTATAGGAGGACCCCAGCTTTGGGATTATTGAGGTGTGTATATGCTGCTGAAGCAACAAGATTACTAGAAGAAATACACACAGGAACATGCAGACCTCACATGAATGGTTTCACTTTGGCCAAGATGAGTTTTAGAGCCAGATACTTTTAGATGACCAAGGAAAGCGATTGTATATGTTACATGCAGAAGTGTCACCAGAGCCAAATTCATGGGGATTTCATCCCAGTTCCACCTAATGAGCTGAATGTAATGGGTTTTAGTTGGCCGTTCGCCACTTGGGACATGGACATGATTGGACCGATAAAGCCTGCCACATCAAACGGACACCGTTTCATCCTGGTAGCCATTGATTACTTCACCAAATGGGTTGAAGCCTCTACGTACAAGGCCGTTACGAAGAAAGTGGTAGCAAATTTTGTCTATAACAACATCGTCTGCCGATTCGGGATACCATAGTCAACATCACTGACAATGCAGCCAATCTCAACAGCGATCTTATGAGAGATATTTGCAAGAAGTTTAGAGTCTTCCATCATAATTCTACATCCTACAGGCCACAAATGAATGGAGCAGTTGAAGCAGCCAATAAAACATCAAAAGGATCTTGTGAAAGATAGTGGACAATCACAGGTAATGGCACGAGAAATTATCTTTCGCCTTGTTAGGTTATCGGATCGCCATGAGAACATCCACTAAGGCAACACCATACATATTGGTATATGGCACCGAAGCTGTGATACACGTAGAGGTCGAGATACCATCCTTGTGTGTCATTCAAGAAGCCAAGATAGACGATGCAGAATGGATACGAGTCAGGCAGGATAAACTCATGCTCATTGATGAAAAGGGAATGGATGCAGTATGCCACGGTCAACTGCATCAAAATAGAATAGCTAGTGCATTCAACAAGAAGGTGAAACCTCAGCAATTTACACCGGGATAGTTGGTTTTGAAGAAACTATTCCCTCATCAGGAAGAAGATGAGGAAAAGTTCGCACCGAATTGGAAGGGTCCTTATGAGATCTATCGGGTATTGTCGGGAGGAGCCTTGATCTTAGTAGAAATAGATGGAAGAGTCAGCACGGAGCCCATCATCTCAGATGCAATCAAGAGATACTACATTTGAAGACAATAGAATTAGGGTTTGGTTGTAACAGAACTATGCCCGACCTGACTTCCCACACTGGGATACATAGGCAACCCACGTAGGGTTCGGTCTCTCTCTCCCCTTTTGTAATAGAAAATCCAAATATCATTTTGTGTGAACTCGAAAATACGCCACAACTTGATTTCGTTCGGCAGGAACACGCAGGCAATCCTCATCAGGTTTAGTTACCTATTGTAATCGAACTACATTTCAACCTGATTCCATTTGGATACGTAGGCTTCTTGATTTAGGATCGGTCATCATCATACTTTCTTTATCAGTATCCTCAAACTACGTTCAGACCTGATTCTGTTCGGATATATAGGTGACCTGAAAGGGTTTGGTCATAACCCTAGGAAAACCTTTGTAATGCATTATAACGAGCGCAAAACACAACACACAATTATTGCTCTCTAGTCAAAGATAATATAGTTATGATTATCGTCTCCACATGGATTGGATTTAAACAATATTCAAGTAATTTCTAGCTTACCGCTATTCGGAATGATTAACACATTGGTTGGGATGCTTAATAACTAAATTTAACTATGAAACTAAAACAATTAACAATTGATCACAGAAAGACAAGAGTTGAGCAACACCGAATATCAATGGGAGAAATAAGGGACGTGACAGGATAGGTGCAAGATACCTATTTGGAATCCAATTCTAGTTCAATTCACTCTAATATTCTAATGATTCTCATGAATTCACTTGATGATTAGTTCAAACGTGTAGTCAAGACTCCTCTCTCGATTAAATCTTAACTCAACGAGGTAAACTAATATAAGCACTATGAAAATATGCAAGCACGCGTTAATGGATTAGTCTTCAGAAAAACATCTCTCGAATATTCTACTAACTTAATTTAGTCAACAATTCAACAAGCTCTTTCGATTACTTAAGACAATCACTAAATTAAACCAAACAAAATATTACAAGATAATCACCACAATATTCCTCTTTCGATGAAATAAACTGGTGAATGAAGTTGCAAATAATTCAAAGCTCCATAAATGAATTCAAGCAAAGACTAGAGTTAAAATCCACAAATATCAATCATAACGCCATATTTGTCAAACCCTAAGGGACACTACTCTATAATCATGAAGGAAGTAATCACAAATAGAATTAAAGAGTAAGAAAACATCAATCTAATGTTACAAGTCAAAAGTGCCTTCAAATATATCTTTTTAGTGTATTTATACCATGTAGGGGTTATCCCGGATGAAACTACCCTTTTCAAGCCGAAACAAAAAATAACTCTGAGAAAATAGTACAAGTGCGCCACGCCACGCGTTGTGCCATGCGGTGTGCTAGTGGGGAAGTTCAAAGAGCAGTTTTTGACGGACATCAGCACAAATGTTGTCACGCCGCCCCATGCCGGCTGTGCACCTTTTACAAAGTAAATTTATTTCTTCAATTTTTGATATCCAGACTCGGTCCTCGACCCCTGAACGCGATGGTTTAATCCCTTGGGATTTTACTCAGACTTCAAAGCTACAACTTGTTCAATTTAGCTCCTGATTATCTTTTGAACTCGAAATTACTTCCTACAAGGCATAAAATACGTAATAAGTGTAATTCTCTATTATTTAAGCTCAAACACAAGTAAATGCAGTAATTAGAGTAAAAACGGTGACTAAAAATACGAGTTTCTAGCCTACCATCAACACCTCACACTTAAGCCATTACTCGTCCTCGAGCAATCAAGCTGCACTTCACATAGAGACGACATAATAATCAGACAACTTCCCTGACGTATCACGCCAAGAATATTTAAAGCAGGTTAAGCACCTTATCATAATATCCTAGCCTCAAGACTCGACTCATAAGTGCCACGCATTTCAAAAATCCACTTCCTTACTCTAACCCAGAGGCCAAAGACATTACTTTTTCTTCGCAAATCATGTGTCCTCACACCAAAGATAGAGAGTAGTTACACACACAGTGAAATTCAAGAACAAATAGGAACTCAAGATAGAAAGAATTCACTCACTCTCATAATTAAAATTATGTGCCACAGAAGACGCACCATATGCTTGCCCATAGTGTAATACTCTACTAATTGAGCTCATTCGGTCCAAGTAGGACTTTAGTTTAGTTGTAGTGTAGGCTGCGAGACGGGTAGGATACATTTGGATATAGTGACTACACCTCCCTAAGCACTTTAATACATATACATTAACAATTTTCAACAATGCACCGTTCTCCTTTTTCAATAGTTCCACTAAAAAACCCGATCATACCTCCACTTAGCTTTTAACAAGCTCATACAAATTCAAGTGCTCAAGAGAGGTAAGAGGGTTCAAATAGATAGTCAATTCAAACAAAAAGGGGTCAGGCTTGTAGTGTGGTTGCCAAAGAAAATAGGATTGCAGGCTCAAAGGGGCTAACTAGGATACACAACAATTAGGCGGGTCACATGCATATAATTAGCTCAACAAAGAAATGCATATATTACTTCCTAGACTGAACAAGACTACTATTTCCTGAATCACACTAAGTTTAGTACTTCCTAAAGTGTAAGGTATAGTAAAACTTCCTGGATCTCCACACTTTTGAGGGAGCTTATTATGCAGAATGGCACTACAGTACTCTGTGAGCTTGACAACCGATGTCTCTTCCACTCTCTGCTTGTTGGACAATATCTCCTTTAAGAACTTAGCATAAGCTGGCATCTGAGAGAGCACCTCCGTAAATGGTAGATTAACATGCACCTGCTTGAGCACATCAAGGAAATGCCCAAATTATTTGTCCAGCTTCTCTCTTCTTTACTTCTGAGGAGAAGGTAAAGCAGGCATATATTTACTCTTTTAGGTCTCCTCATTTATTTCATTCCCGTCTTTCTTCTTCTTCTTAGCACTAGTCTTCCCCTTCTTCTTCAGACTATCATCTACTATCACTTCACCTTCTTGAATGTTATTATCTGTCTGCTCCTCCACAATCTCGACTTGTCCTTCAATCAACTCATCCTTTTGTTTTGTCATGGGGTCCTTCAATACGAGCCCACTCCTCAAAGACACCGCATTTATTGTATCTTTTGGATTTCTTTCAGTATCAGTAGGTAGAGTTCTTGGAACCCTCTTAGACAATAGATTAGCAAGTTGCCCCACCTGTCTTTCCATGTTTTGAATGGTTGTGCCATATTCTCGGATAGCTGAGCCTTGTTCTCGGATAGTTGTGCCATGAGTTTCAAGCCTCTCATTTGTCTTAATAATAAAGTCCTTCATCAGATCTTTCATGCTAGACTGATTAGACTCTAGGGGCTGATATTGTTGCCTCTACTGATTGAGAAGACCAAGAGCTCCCCGTCCCTGGGATCTTGAGTTATTCTGTTGTCATGAATTCGCACTACAACCTGGTGAACTCCAATAAAAACCTGGGTGTCTCTGCCCCATGGAGTTAAAATTATTACCACTTTGTTAGTTGCCTCTGTCAAAGATCCCCACAGCAGTTACCATTTCATCTATAGTTGAGGTCTGACACTCATGCGTTGGATGACCCATTCCACAAAAATCATAAATCGAAGATAACTGGCTCTGGACCTTGGCTAAAGTTAACTTTCTTATCTCTCTGGCCATGGTGTCTAGCTGGGCTTGCCCTGATGTGTTAGAATCCAGTTGATGTATTCTAACCTTTTTGCTTCTCTCGTTATCATCTGCAGGCCATTGATTTGCATCTTTTGGTAATTCATTTAGAATTGCAACAATCTCCTCAGGAGTTTTCTTTATAAGAGGACCTCCAACAATGTTGTTTAGCGTCCTCCTGCCAGAAGGTGTCAACCCATTTCAGAAATCTTGGAGTTGCATCCATAAGTCTACTCTATGATGCTGACATCTTCTCACAATATCCTTAAATCTTTTCCATGCTTCAAATACCATTTCTGTATCTTTCTGCTTGAAGTTGTGGATCTCTCTTCAAAATTTCCCTGTTTTTGCAGCTGAAAAATATTTTTCAAGGAATTTATTTGTCATGTCTTCCCAAGTTTGAATTTACCCAG